ACCAGAACTAACGGAAACCTTCAGTCTGACCTTTATATTCAGACAGATGGAGACGTTGCAAAGCTCCTGCCTCTCCTACTGCCTCTCTTTAAGGGCAGAAGCAATGTTTTGTAATGAATAGTAAGTGACTCTTGCTTTTTGTCATACACAATTTAATTATCATATATCTCGATTTATGTAAAAAGCAGCGTGGCATCAGTGTAGCTGTTTTTATATGTAGTATTACTCTAACTGCAGGGGGGGGTTCCATTCGGCAGTTTATAATGATAGCATATTATTACATTATACAAAAGATTTTGCTCCTACCTACATAAAGAATTGTTATTTGTCCCGGCGATATGGATTTTTACAGTGGACTCGTCTTTTTGGTGTCTCATGGTATTGACACACTGAGATAATTATATCTTTGAAAAAGATTTAACTGAGTCATATATAGCCTATAACTCATCATGTGGCACAAGCAGCAAAATACAGCAGAAATTACCCAACATAAATTAGGTTTACTATATTCATTAAATGTTTTTTTTGTGTTTTAGAGCTATCCTCAAGTTTTCAAGATTAATAAAGGTGTGGTACATCACAAGTTTTCCTGGAGATTGAAAGCGATGGTTGACCTCTAAAGCCTTAAGGACATATTGTCTGGTTCAATGAAAGGGTGCTGTCTGTCTCCGTGTCCCTTTAGATACCCGACAGTGGTAAAAGCATTATCCTTGTATGTCTGTTTCTCAGATGGATAGGCTTGATGTGGTGTGACTGTTAAGTTTGATTTATGGCCTGTTTCAGACAGTGGAATGGGGTGACTCACCTACAAATGGTCCCAAATCAGCAGCTGTTTCAAATCCTTTTACTAAACAATGCAGGAAGGTTGACCTCCTTTTGACCATTTAACTACAGTCACAGATTGGTTGAAGATTAGGGCAACTTTGGGTGGTTGAATTACTAATTGAGCAATCTGCTGTAAAAAGATATAGTTTATGAAATACAGTTAGATATACACACTTAAAGTGCAGTGAGTATGCTTTAAAAAACAAATACCATGCATCTTTTTATCACGTCATAAAAACACTCTGACCACAGCTTGCTTTTAAAACAGCAACAATTCTCATGTGTACTTAGCAAGTTGTTCCAGCCACAGCCCATCTGTGAATTTGACCTGTCTCAGTGGCCCGGTCTCGCCATGTAATCCTACACTGACTTGATGATGCTTAATTCGTGGATCTGTCGCTTCTTTGTGAATCTATAACTGTATTTCTGAATTCAACATCTAAAAACCTTTACACAGTACTTCATATGTCTTATTGTTGGACTGAAATGCCTAACATGCAGGCCTTTGTCTTGTTTGAAAGTGAGAACACAATCACAGATATGATTGAAATCTAATGGAGCAACATGGGGGGAAGATCTGCCTAAATCAGTAAAACCTTTTGTGAACATGTCACTTATGTGTTTGGAGGATATTGCTCATATGTTTTATTTTAGCTTTTTTGTTTTGAATGACATTGTTTTAAAAGGGACTAAAATAAGACAAAATAATACGGTGTTCTGATGAACTTTATCCTTTTTAAACACCAGGGATGATTAACACTCCTTTTATCATTTGTTAGAAAACAAGGAGGTTTGTTTTCAGGACGTTGGTGTGCAGTCAGATTTACTGTCTCTCATCTTACTGTGTTACTAAAGTGGGCCTTTGTGGTTGAGACAATGATCCACAGACAACACAGGGAAGCTCACCCCTTGGCTTCCTGGTCATTTACCAATTCCTAGTTGACCTACCTTTCCGTGTAAGGATCTTAATGAGTCTGGTCCTTTGCCAGCCCTGGGCCATCATGGTCCGCCTGCTCACGTGGTAGCTATTCAACACTGTTGGATTCACACAGGGTGCAGAGATGAGATTTGATCCCACATTGATGTAAGGATTCAGAGTGGCAGAGTCTGCATAAGCCCAGATAATATTATCAAGTCAATCTGGGGTTGCTGCAAAATTATTTTTAAATATGTGGGGGTCACATCAGCAATAATGCCTCGAGAAGAACTTTTAAAAAACTTTCTCAATTCAAAAGTTAATCTATAATGCAGACGTCTTGTATAAAATGCAAGTTACAACAGTTTACCATTTGGTAAATCAAAACAGAAAATTAACTGTCAAATGTAGCCTTTCTTTGTCATGAGCTTAAACTGGCATATTTCACTAGTTTCTAACATTTTACAGGGTTAGTATTAGATAAACGACTATATAGAAAATAATTTACATATTAGGGCAATGAATTTAATATTTAGCTGCAGTCCTAATGCTGATACATGTGGAATTTTGTTTCAGAACAATTTTCGTTTCCCAAATCCTCAAAAACCTTCCTGGTGGGTTGTATCTCTGTAAACGTTAGACCCTCATTTGTCATCGTTGCTTCATTGTGTAATTAATGCCTCCTTTGAACCTATTCATCTCCATCAGTTGCAGCAGCCTTCTCTGCCTCACAGCACAGCTGGTGAAAGGCCATTGATAACAATGAAAGAGGCTTTTCCCTCTGTGGTACTTGTGGCTGAGGTAATGGGGCAATGTGCAGGTTAATCCCTTAATCTTCATCACAGTTTGGTAACCAGAGAGCCAAGTATAGTCAGTTCAACCTGATAGGTACTTACCAGTGGTAGCTCTTCAGCATGTTAAGCACCCACAGTGAGTCAGCAACCACCACCCATACATCGTTCAGATATAACAGAATAGTTTCAAGTACTCTGGTTCCTGACATCAGATCTCCACATTGCCCAATGAGTTATTTAAATCAATAAAATTAGATGACATAGTAGTTATGTCTAAATATGAGGTTGTTTATGCGGCAGGCTTACTCATGCTCATGATGACCGCTCCAACTTTGACAAATAGGTCTGGTGTGTTTTTGTGTGTGAGACGACAGTAGGGCAGAGATCACATTGCACAGCTCTAAAATGAAGCAACTTTAATGCACAATTAAGTTACCATGAGAAGTGGAAAAAAAATTGGTTCATTATAAATCTGTAGAGGGATAAATTACACAGTGGGAAACACTGTCCTTTGTCAAGTATGCTAAATGTCGTCATGATGTGGGATCTGGGTCTCTCATTGTGAATAACTAAATGAAATTAACCATAAATGCTTTGGTTTAGGCATAGTTTGTCATTGCCTGGAGCCTCTGGTTATTGCAGGTTATATCTAATTTGACTAAAGCCATGTTCTTCGTTACTCTGTTTCACAGTGTGAACTCAATCACTACATTTGGCCTCAAATTTGTCATCAACATCTGCTCCTAATATCCTGGAAAATGTGTGCAAATAGGCTCATGCATACAAATGTAAAGTCTGCAAGTCTTTGGGTGAAGGATTATGACCTAAATTTAAACTTTAGTGGATGTTGGATTGTCGTTCCAAAAATATTCTGCCAAGATTTCAGGCCTCCGTTTCTCCTGTTCTTCTCCCATCTGCCAACAAAATGGTGTCCATCTGATCCCACAGGAGGTTTTCTGGCCGCCTTCGATTTGGCATGTGCCCATACTGTGAGATTTGACAGTGTAATTTTCCCTGACAAGCTGATGGTTAGTGTTCGTTCAGTCAGGCCAGTCAGTGTAATTTGGTTTGTGTTGATCGTCCGTTCCCATGTTGTGATTCTATCTGATTTGTTGCACTGTGTTATTTTGTCACTGTTCAGCTCTTGGTATTGAATGGCTGTAATGCAGAATGAAGGGGTGAATACATTTTTTCTACTGATACTACTGATGATGTAGGTAGCAGCCTTCTTTAGGCCTGAATCATGATATTTTCATATAAAACACATGAGCTCTGGAACTTTAGGTTAAATTCACTCAAATTATTGAGTTCTCTGCTTGTGGTGTTTTCATAGCCCTAATCCTATGTTCAAAAGGATACGAACACATGTTAATAATAAACATATTCATTTCTACTTCAATTTTGATGTAATGTTCCTTTACAGCCCATTAAGCTTCCTGGGCACTGGGTAGTGCAACAGATCTCCTCCTTTTCTTTAACTTGCACACAGATCTTGTAGTTACAGCTCAAGTAAGGCAGGTACTATTTTGCTTGATGACAAGAGCCATGATGTGGTTGGAAAAGAGAGGGATCACCTGTACCCGTATTAATAATGAATTAAAAGCCCATGCCTCAAGCATAGTACCTCTTCTAATGCACTGACAAACAACTGATCAGAATATTGTTCTGTCTGCTGGCAGTCAATGAGGCTTGTTTAACTCCCTTTCACAAGTTTCCCTGTTGTTTTTAAAACACTCACTGCATTAGTTTATTCATCCATTGCTCTTGATTGTTTCTGCTTGGCCTACTTCGTGGTTCTCCATAACTGTCACGGGGTTGTCGAGCTAGCTTTAAAGAAAGCATTTGCCTGCTTCAGTTGACATCTGTCTTACGACACACCGGCATGTAGAAGTTCGAGGAGGGACGTAGAAAGACAACAGCGGCGCAAACCCAAGCACATACTTGCTGTCTTTCTTTCTCTGTGTCTGCTGAAAGCCGTTGTATGTTGTCTTTGATGCATATCCCCAGGGATTTGCTTCACACACAGGAAAGAGTGCTCGGCTACTCAATATTTTACGAGGAGAAACTTTCAAAAATGACTGGTCACCTGGTCTGTGATGGCGCAGTGAGGATGGACAAATGGATGTGTAGACAAAAACCCACTAAATACTGAGAAGAAAGTATGTTCAATTTTACAGCAAAGAAAGAAATCGATTAATATAGAAGTTAGCCTGGCTTTTCCTGGAAATTCTGGAATTCTTGAGAGAAACGGTTAGCCTTATCGAAATCTCACTGGGAAGAGTTTAAACCCTTAACTATGGAGCAAAAATCAGTCCAAACTATAGAAATAATGTGGCATTTATTGGGATAATTATCAATATTAGCTGATATTAAATTATTTTATCTTGATGTAGTTTTTGGCCATATCGTCCACATCTAATTTTTAATCTGTTATTAACATCTCTCTGTGTTTTATTCTCTTCCAGTCCTTTGTGCAAAGAACCTGGCAAAGAAAGACTTCTTCCGTAAGTAAACCCTATTTTTACGTGTTGCTATTCTTGCCCCCGCCTCCCCACGCCTTGTGCATTAGAATGGTCCCTGTCAGTGGTGGCAGCTTGCTGGCGTTTGAAGCCATTCTGTAAATGCAGACCCTTAGGAGCTGTCTGTTGTTACTCACCAGGAGGCCTGGCATCACACAGGGAATCACTGCTAACCCAACTTTAGTCATAGATATCCGGTCCACTTAATTAAAAAGCTTCAATTGAACTTGACAGGCATAACACATTATTCAGTGCAACCCATGGTCAAGACCAGATTTCTATTAAAATGGAGATAATTCCAATTCATTTAGACAAAACATTTTAATTTTTGATTTTGCATTTATGTCACACTTCCCTATTTGCCTTTCTGTTAAAACACAAGCGAATTAGATTATAGAGGAATATAATTTAATATTTAGATCAGATCAGAGGGGATGAAACACTTAAATACTCACTGAAAGACAAGAAATGCTGATTATTGGAGGTCATACAAGGAAGGAAGCTGTACTGCATTAGTTAACATTTAGCTTTTGATGTATTATTGATTTCCAACAATGGGACAGTTTCCTAAAAAACTCACCATTTACCATAGTTGTCAGCTGCGGTCATTATTAAAACACTTAATTGCAAAAGTAGCATGCTGTTTACACAGTATGTTGGTTTTCTATTAACCTAGAAGTCATGGATACAAATAATAGTGGTTTAATTTTTGCCTAATACACACACAAGCATAGCGCTAGCAGAGAGAAGGAAGTATGAGGACAGCAGAAGGGTGACTGAACAGGTTTGACTTGTGTGAAGTATCGATGCCCAAAGGTATATAGTCTGACACATTGAAAATACACATACACAGTTAGACAGAGCAACGCATAGAGCGCCAGATAAACACACAGAGTAGAATCCGCTATTAGATTGCCACCTGAAAAACATGCAGAGGGAAAGTCTCCCTCTCTTTCACACAAAGGGTTCACATAAAATAATGTTTTCTTTACAATAAATAATCAGAGACAGTATGACCGGTTCATTTGACCAATATTTTTGTGTTTTTTTTTTTAAGTCTCTGTGAATGCAATGTTTTTGATTAAATGTTGGCAGCCTGCCACTAAATCAACACTGATTGATGCTACTTTCTTTTTTTGCCTTTTTAAATGGGTAAAATCGTATCTTGTTGTAGAGCTACATGCAGTGCATTCATTTGCTCAGCTCCTCCTTGCCTTTCTCTCTCTCACTCCATCTTTCTCTCTCGCTTGTGACTTCAGTCCCCTAAATGTTTCAGATAGGATGTTGAACGTCATCGCACACGTGAGAGGGTTATTTATGAGACTAGTTTTGGATGTGCATGAAAGAAACCACCTCACTTGCCTCTGTCCACTTTTCCAGGGTTGCCAGATCCCTTTGCCAAAGTGGTGGTGGACGGTTCAGGACAATGTCACTCTACAGATACTGTGAGAAATACGCTGGACCCAAAGTGGAATCAACATTATGATCTGTAAGTCAGCAAGAGTTCTGGGGGGGGGGGGGGTCATCTGACGTGTTGCTGTATGCCACACACAGAAACACATGCAGTGTGTGTGCGGTTAACATTGATCTGTGTTGATGCTGGTTTAGCTCTCTTGTTATGTCTGTGTGTGCAACTGCAATGACAAGTGTTTCAGGAATGTAGATTGTTTTGTGTGTGCAGAAACACCCATCTGTGAAACCTTTGAGACGTATTACATGTGAACAAAACATCTCGTTGAGTGAGATTTTAGAAATTCCTCAACACAGGCTTCGCCAGACATATTCATAGGAGATTATTGTGGTAAAACACAACTCGTACTAATAGATTCATTCCGTCTTGCTCAAATAAGAGATTCTAACTTTTTTGGATTCTAAAACATGGGTTTTGCTTTGTAGTTTTCCTCTATTTGTCTGAGCCAAATGTAGCATCACAAATGGGGAATCTTTCAAAAGAAATTGCAGAGATTTCCAGTTCTGCTTCCAACATCTCAAAAGTGAATGAGACTTTTTTCCGCTACTATATTTTCTAGACTAAATGGTTAAATGATAGTTGATTGAATTTAATTGTCATTCAATTTTCAGCAGTTATAATGAAATAACATTTTCCTTTTAACTGCTTTTTGGTCAATAAACATGTGAAAGTACATTTTTGTAACTACAGACACATCTGGCCTCTCTTCATGGTCACACAATTTCCCAACACACACCTGTTTCGCAATGCTTCTTCCCACCTGTCAACATGCACCTGAAATCCCTCCTTCTTTTGCATAATTTTCTTCCCCCTCCTGGATCCCCACCCTCTTGGAGAAGTATGTTCCACGCTAGTGACCCCTGGCCTCTTCCTTTGGTTCAGGAAATGACTAACATGCCACAGAAAGTAGATGAGAGTTTGGGTTTGGCAGAAGGCCAGCTCACACACCCCTGTCTGGAGCCTCCAGCTTTAGGAGTTGGGGTCTTTTCCCACATGACACTTATATTGCCAGATGCCTTGATGCTCTATACTGGGAATAATAAATAAGACAAAAATACAACTTTAAAAAAAAAAAAATTTTTTTACCTACAAATAATGCTCTGTGATTCATGTTGGTGTCCTTGACAGAAGATGTTTGAGAACAAACCAAACCAAGTATTTGATAACATTTGCGACTTGTTGAGTGTTCATGACCTCACAATATTATAGAGGTCTGGTTTTGGCAGATTGTCTCCTCATGTTGAGCTGCCAGTTTTCAGCTTTCAGGACCACTTTGGTTGGAGGGATATATTTGTTTTCTGTGCGTATATCCACACTGATACGTTTTAGTTTTAAAACGCATCACTTTGCTACTTTTTCTAACCTGCCATACACGCAACTAAAAGTTATCAGTGCGGATGTAGTCTGTGTTTCTTGAACATTCTCTACAAATCATGCTTTTGCAACATTAGTTTTTCCCCCAGTAATAAAAGGCTGAGCAGACCGATGGCGCAGCTGCAGTGAGTTTTTACTATCCTCACGGCAATCCAAAAATGCATTGATAATAGTTGCCAAGTCGACTCTTTTCGTCAGATCATTGCCTACCACAAGCCTTGGAGTTTTGTATTGCACACATGCCCACCCGCAGTATAATCAAAAAGTGAGGAACTCCAGGCTTTTCTAATTGTTTAAGCTGGGGAATATTTCTCTGCTTTATTCCTCTCTGCCGTGAGTTGGCACCGTCAAAGCATGGGGTGACTTGACACTTGGGAGAACGTTATTAGCAAATAAATGGTTTGCTGGAAATGTCTGGAAATGTGCAAAGTCATTATTGTTGACTCATTAAGTATTTTGTCTTTCTCAGTCCTGGACTGGCAGCAAAGGTTCAGCTAACCTCAACAGGCATTTTGCCATCTAGTGTGTGCATTGGATCCAGACCTTTTTATTGTTATTGCATATTTCCATTAAGAGAGGCAACAAAGATTTGTGAAAGCCCATGTCCAGAAGTATAAGAGGAGAAGAATACTCAAGGTACTTGGTATGAACAAGTCCGAGCTGTAGAATGCCCTCAGGTTTATGTTTCCCTTAATAGATGTTAAAAATAAAGGATATCCAACATAAATATAAAAAATATACAATATTTTATTTCCCATGGTATCATATGATCCGCTGCAATAAAGATTTGGGGAAGTCCTGCAGGTCTGGATTTAGTATGTTCTTGAAAGCGAATCTAAATTTCCACTGCTGTTGTCTGTAGGATTAAGATTGCTTATCCTTATTTTGTTGTTGATGTAACCACCTAATAAAGTGTGTCCGTGCATGTGTCCCGTGTGCGCAAGAGTTTTTCCTGTTCTTGTTTCCAAAATGGATTTTAGTGGTTGTTTCTTGTTGAAATTGAAATTAACACAGTAAACGAAAAAAGGAATATGCTAAGAACACCAGATGAACCCAGAACATATTGGTCTGTGTGAACCTTGCTCAGCCTCTTTAAAGTGGAATAGCTAGATGGATGGATATTATGACATGTGCGAATTAATTACATTGTGAATTTATCCTTAATGGTTATGTTTTCTTTTACTGGGAACTTCATATTTTACCAGCATTCTGGTAATGTTTTGTTGTCATCCAGGAGCTATTCTGTTATTGTCTCCAGACACCTTTATTACCTAATAAAAAACTTATAAAACCAAGTCTAGAAATGTTTTGAATTAAGGATAAGATTTTTGCCCAGAGATTAAATGAATGCACATGAAGGTAACTTTGATAGCAGACCTGTTCATTTCGTCTTTTTGTCTGGATAAATCAAACTTAGTTGGTTTCCACACCAAACATATTGTGGCCTTCACAGTTTCTGGTCAGTCATCTACCATCTAAAGAAGACAGGGAGACTGTTCAGTCTGTAGGTATACTGCCATCCTCTTTCTACTCTTCTTTGAAATCTAGGTACTCCTTTTAAAAGTTCAGCCCTCTCCATCTGTAGACATTTTCTGCTATGGTCATGTTGCAACAATTAAGTATGTGCAAAATTAAACAATGATGAGGTTACTCACACTGTTTTGCTTCTGCATTTGTGATTGAGGAAATAACTTTGGTACACCTGTTCTCTTGTGCTTGGACGCTCTCATTGTTTTGTCTGCTCTTTCACTTCTCCTTTTTTTGGTGCTTCAACCCCCCAGTTTTGCACAACGCACCTCTGCATTACATTAACCTTTTAATCTCAAAACTGCACCATGTGAAAGGACGGGCATGAGACTAAACTTAGAACACTCATCGTCCTCAGGGATATGATTAGAGCAGCATCACAGCGCTCAAACAGAAGCAAAACACATTTAGTCATGATTGCACAATGCTTAGAGCATGATGTGCTTAGTCGAAATTCATCTAATCACAGTAAACAACAGCATTGCACAAATCAAATTCATGTGAAATCATTTAAATGCTTCATTTCATATTTCAGTGAAAAATCTACAAGTAGTGAAATGTCATTTCCCTATAACCCTTCATATTATGGTGTGATAGGAGGCTTTTACCAGATTGCAAATTTATCACAGCTTTACCTCTAGTGGCCTTTAGTCTAAGCATTTAAGGATGTCACCTCAGTGCAGTCATCTGTCCATTTGTTATTAGACTGTGATAATTGCTAGAATGAAATCAACAAGTTGTAATTTTATCTCAGTGGCAACTTCTGTGATTTAGCTCACATACTAAGCCTAGGGAAACCCCACTCCTTGTATGTGATATACAGCAATATACAGAGTTCTGCATCAGATCTGACTGTTAGGCTGTAATTATGTCCGTGTGTGTTTGTGTGCGAGTGCGTGTCGGTGAATGATTTTACATTTGAATGTGGAACTCTTGTGTGTTTACTGTACAAGCTGTCTGGGCCTCAGACAGCGGTGGAGCACTTCACGGGAACTTCCTCTGTTCGTCAACCACGACTAGACTGGCCTCAGCTGTGCTAAATCAACACACACACACACATACACACACACACACACACACACACACACACACGTTTAAAAATCAACTAATTTGCCTCATTACACAGTCTGAAAGTCTACATTGCAGACACAGCAAGCATTATACTCAAGCTGTCAGGAGAAGAAGTTTTAAAAGATACATAATAGAAGTTTAAGTTTCATGGTGTATCTTTAGTCAGCTTGTGGGTTTTTTAGGTACAGTTTTGAGTTGAGGAAAAATATTTCCTTAAAGTTTGTGGTTTCTGCAATTTTCACTGACGCACTTGTTATTTTCCTGGTTAGTGCCCATGTTGTTTCAGCAACAAAAAATGCACTTGCACCCAGCTGATTGCCCATTTTCTAGTTGGTGTTAGAATTAGCTGTGATCAAGTGCATTGTTAGTGTGTTGCTTCTAAAGGCAATGGAAAGCAATTGCATTGATCAACAAAAACCTTTGATCAATGCTGCAGTATCTCACTGGTATCTTAAGGACACAGTATCAAGATAGTAATATGTGCCAACATTGGTGGGTGTAAAACACGCGTACACTGCTGAAAACGTACAAAGATTATTGCCCAAAAGTAAAAGTGTTTTCATATCAATCTGCCAAGGTGCCAGCACACCTGGCTTTTAAAGAGAATGCAAGATGGTATTCTGGTTGTTTTATTGCATATGGCTCCAAAAACCACCCCAGGATTAATCACTGAACTAAGTGCATCCTTTTTCAACCATGCACCAGGTGCAGTGAGTCTTTCTTCCATCGTTAAACTCACAGAAGTGGATTTGGACACGTCCTTAATGCACTTGTGCCATGCACTGTAGATCATGTGCTTGGATCATTAAATGTCTCAGTGGATCCTTTAAAATTCTGCACATAATGATACTACTGCAAACTACACCTTACTTTATCATCACTCCTCTTTTCTGTGTTATTGACCTCTTTTCTTTTATTCCCTCTCTTCCCCATCAGATACATTGGAAAGGCAGACTCCATCACCATCAGTGTGTGGAACCACAAGAAGATCCACAAAAAGCAGGGCGCAGGTTTCCTTGGCTGTGTCCGCCTCCTGTCCAATGCCATCAACAGACTAAAAGACACTGGCTGTAAGTACCTGTTAATGTTTGTGTATTATTGGGTTCATACTCTTTATCTTTGAACTCTTACTTAAAACAGGTTACAGGTCTCTGGTCCCTTCATGCTTCCTCTGCATGCCTACTGTGACCTTTACTCTAAGGTGCCAGTCGAGCTTTTTTTTGTTTATTACGATGATGTAATATCTGATGTTGTAATGCAAACTGAAGAATAGTTCTTGCAAACAAAGGTAGACTATAAAGTTACTTTGATTTGATATATGCACATACATGCTGTGCCTCAGTTATATCTGGCTACAGCAGTGTGATAGCTAGCCTGCTGCTACATGTTTCTCTCTTTCGACAGTGCTGCTGTTGCATCCTCAGCTCGTAGCTTGTCGCTGCTCCTTTGCCAGCCATTCATTGCTGTAAGATTTATGGTCACAGTACACAGGCAACTCCTTTAGGCAACACGTATCAGAAATATTGCCTGGTAAAGACATCTGGCACCTGGGACTAAATCAATAGTCCTGATTCATTATAGAGCAATAAAACATTCTCTCAAGGAAACAAATAGCTTCCTCTCCTGGCAGCATCTTTCTAATCCTGCTGATATAGTTATTGTTGCTGTTTGGCACAAGATGCCCTTTGATTCCCAGCTGATTCAGACTCATGTGTTCTTTATGCTGTCCACATGTTCACACGCTTGTTAGTCCTGTCTGCCTTGTTACCAGTACTCAGCTGATGCTTAATACACTTGACTGTTGTCCATACTGTCCAAATTAACATTCCCTTCACTCATTCTCATCCTTTTTTTTCCCAATATATTTTTCCGGACCCATCATAAACACACAGTCACATATGTGCTAGAGCAACCACACAGAGTTACATTTTTCTTCTTTCTTAATATATATATCCAGCCTTTTCTCCATTTCCATTCATCCATCCATTTCCCACAACCACTTGAGCAGTTGTCTGTCTGACTATAATTGCCATTTGTTGGATGCCTTTTTATTCTAACTGCATAGTTGGATGCTTCCATAAATGTAGGCAGTTGTTCGGTTGACCCACATGAAACAACAGCTTCGAAAACTTTAAACCTAAATTCTTCACATACAAGTTCAGAATAGTTTCCAGCAACCTTTTTGTTTGCTCCTAAATTACATTCTTGGCTCATAAAGTTCACCCCCTAATCCAGCAAGACCCACAACAGCATCAGTGTCACCATAAAAACGGACATTGATGGTCACAGAAGCCGGGTGCCTTATGATTTGCCCTTTAGATTTACCCACAACTCACAGAAATGGGCAGTATAGGCTCCAGTTAGGCTCCCGACCAGCCACTTACTGTACAGCAAACATGGCAGAAATTATACTTTCTCTCAGCCACAGGAAATGGACAGAGAGACATGTGTGACAAGACACCAGTGCTCACTGTATATATTTGTCCTGCGTGCTGTAGTCACATGAAAATTTACCATTGAATATCTGTTTCTGAATATTTGAATTCACAAACACACACACACACACAAAACTCACATACGAACATTCTGGCAAACCAAAAGGGGATACTACGATACTTTACTAGAAGTCTGTCTGGCTCTGCACTGAGCTCCACTTCCTGTAGCATTGCAGACACAAATCCTCTGCCCCACTTCTGAACCCACAATCTCAGTAACACACACACACACACACATTTTCGAAAATGACTTGGTTGACGCATGTTTGTGAACCCTGCTGTCGACTTGTTTGTCTTATTTATAGTGTTGATGTAATCACTAATTATATTTGCTGATATGCTGTGTGATAATGCTCATCAAGAGCTAAATGAGCCAGTGAGTTTACATGCACATGTTCATTTATTTACTTAGTTCACAGTAACACACATTCATCACAGTGTTGAGGTACTGCATCGTGCGGTGAGGGCTCGTGGTTAAAACTCTGTAAATGTTGTGTCTCTCTTATATAAAAGAAAAATCAGCTTATTCTAACCATGAAAGGCTCAGACCTTCGCTGTTTAGTCTAGACAAGTATCCATAACAAATGCGCACACACATTCATAAACACACACACACACGTTTGTTTGGATCGGATTTCCTAGACACAAAAACAGATACACTGCATCATGCACAACTAAAATTATACAGGCAATACGTAGACTTGACCAATCCAGTCTTGACTTGAGATATTACATCTATTCAACACATGTAGAACTGGGGTATCTCTTTATCTCCCTTTCTCACACTCACTCACTCTCTCTCCCTCTGCCTTTTATGCCTCTTCTGTGTATTTGCCTTCCTCTCCCCCCCTTGGACCCTCACACTCTGTCTTATGTCTGTCTATGTTTTGGTTTCTCATGTATAAGTAAGCCTACGCCCCTGCAGGACTCTTACCTTGCACATGCATGCATGCAAGCAATCACGCACACTCTGCATTGTTAATAGTACCAAATGATGTTACTCCTGGTCTTAGTGCTGGTCAGCCGGACTGTGTTTGTGTGTGAGGGTATGTGTGCACGTGTGTGAGACTGTAATGTATCTGTGTCTGGATCTTGTTCAGAGTCTTCCTGGGTTGTGTTCCTGTGCTGTCTATGTTTGGAGGCACTATCATGAGCAGAGCAGACAAGGAGTTCTTACTTTTCCAAAAACAAGAATGCAAATATTTTGTCTAATTCTGTGACATTTGGTGTCCCCATTTTTAAATCCTTTCATAAAAGAGAATGTGCACGGGCTTCTGCAGGGTGCTGTGGTGAATTGTTTTGTTATTTTATAGGCGCACTAATATGAACACTATATAAGAAATATTACATGGTGAATTTTCAGACAATCAACTTATCTCAGCTTGACAATAGTGATGACATGAACAAAACAAGAATAGCCCTTACAGGACTGCATACTTTCGCCATGGCCTAATCATTCCCCTTAAATTCAATCAAGCTGCACCAAATTGCACACATCCATTCCCCTTAATGTGCCTGATTGTATTTCATCTGGATCCACGAATTATTCCCTGAGAAATTGATTGCATGTTTCTGATCCAAACCATATCCTTCCACCAAATTTCGTGGTAATCTGTTCAGAACTTTTTTGTGTCATGCTGCTAACTAACTGACAAATGCAGATGAAAACTTGGTGTAGGTAATACAGGATCGAGAAGCTTTCCAGCACAAGTCAGTTTGGTCCCTGTAGATAATGATACTGGATTTTCTGCACTATTCATCCTCCTTGCATAAAATCAGTTAAATGTACTGTAATCTCATCGCATGCTTTTAATGTACTGTTAAATACATGCACATGTCTTTTAAAGATGATAATAATAATAAAGATAAAATGAATTATTAAAAATGTAAAGGATTGATGGCTTATAGTAGTAATAGCAAAAGATGCCCTTTTATGGACACACCTTCCTAAGACCTGTTGTCGAGCAAAAATGTTGAATTTGGTGAAGTGTTATCCACAACACAATCTGATGTTTTCTGACAGTGCTTTACAGTAGCCGGTAAAATATCTGTGAGGCAAGAGCACATTCCTGGTAGATTACTTTGTTTCATTATTTTCGCCGTTTGGCATTGACTCTTATTTTCTCTATGTGGTCCACTCTGTCACACGCTTGTTGGCATCCTGCGGTTCTTTAAAGCAGTGATGTTTTTGTCTGAACACTCTGTAGCTAAGTGTCAATATTTAAAAGTTATGCATAAGTCTAGTATGTGAAATGTGTCCATGGTTTTAAATGGGCACAGATGCTGAGTAAATTTGTTATTTTTTTTCTTGCAGATCAGAGACTGGACCTGAATAAGCTTGGCCCCAATGACAATGATACTGTGAGAGGACAGATAGTAGGTAAGAAGCAAACGTACTGTGTGGCAGAATAAAGAGTCATCGGTTTGTGTCTTATGTCATCCTGTGTATTTTCGTTAGAGTTGGTATTGGGTTTTTTTTTGGTATTGAGTCAAACATATATCCAAATAACCTTGAATTGTCAATTTCTGGACATGTTTGCAAAATCAAACCCCAATTTATTACACACATGTTGTTCTATTCACATTTGTCAAAGGCAAACTCCTGGACCCCATTGTGTGGAAATTCTCCGGCGTTCATGTCTGAAAAGGCTTATGTCTGGTTGTCTCAGTGCATTGTTTTATTTAAACATTACAAAACACAGCTTGACCCAGACAATCTCAATCCTCTGACTCAGTTCATTACCTAACCTCCAAACCTCCAAACCACCAAACCACACAAAGCATTTTGTGTTTTTTCTCTGGCTTTATAATACAAAAACACATTTCACCTATGTCACCTATGAAGTATTTTTCTTTCTCCTTCTCTCTCATTGATGTCAGAAGAGAAAAGGAAAAATGGACAATATAAAACAGTCACAAATGTATAAAAGCATTTGTGGAGATTTAATCCATCCTCCATAGGGACTTCATACTAAATGTTCACTGTGCTAAATATGAGTCATCAATTTTTGAGCTGTGTGGGTCGAAAAATGTTTCATGTACTGTCTCCCTTGTCCTTGTTAACTGTGTAGTAAGTCTTCAGTCCAGGGATCGCATCGGGACAGGAGGGCCAGTGGTGGACTGCAGTCGTCTGTTTGACAATGACTTACCCGATGGGTCAGTATTTTTGCATGTTTTCCTTTAAATTTATATAAAAGTGATTCCAATTTATCTGGAATTGTTGAAGACTGCAGAGTGATAGTGATATACAAGTTGTGGCATGTATTGGGGCTGGGCAGTAGCTTGAAAAGTGAGGTATATTAGCTATGTCACAATTCAGGGGCTGCCCGCTTCATGGCCCATGAAGACAACCTCCTTCGTAGACCCCTAAGGCCGAACTGAAATGTGATGGTCTGATCTACCGAGGGATTCTACAGAGGATCGGCCTCACCAGCTTGTCCCGCCCTTATTGCTGTTGCCTAGCAACAGAGCTGCATTTGGACATGACGAGAAAATTTTAAAGCCCCTTGGTTTATTTACATGTGCACTGTTAGCTGTATGGTTGAATTCAAGCATGATACTCAAGCATTACCTTTTTAAAAAATTGTTCTTAACCGAAGCAAAATGAATCCTGGGATGGGCTGGGAAGGATCCACCTGTTAGAGCCTTCGTTTCTCTCGGATGAAAGGATGCATTTGTCTGTAAAATGTGACATGTTTCTGTGACACAGTCAGTCTTTAAATGCAGTCTTTGAAGAATGCAGCCCCTGAAATGGGACACACCTATCGTTTTCTGAACAGTAGTTGTGAATATTACTGTTCCTCAATATATTTTCATGTGGCCATTGATTTGTTTATGATGTATTCTAACCTGTCTATCTTGACGTGTCATGAATCAGGTGGGAGGAGAGGAGGACAGCTTCTGGAAGGATACAGTATCTGAACCACATCACACGTACCACACAATGGGAGAGACCTACCAGGTACATCTGCACACACTCACACATCCCCAACTACAACCTCAAATGATGTAGACTAGTATAAAAGTGAGCCATGTAAAAATGCAAGCTTTTCAATGGCCCAAATCTTATGGTCTTCAACATGCTACTGCCTGTCTGTACTGCAGCAGTCACACTATTGTAATACAAAACAAACTTGACCTTTTACAGAAAAGCGAGGGGGGGTCTATTTAAGTGCTTGTACCTTCCTCCAGTTTCCTTTCAAAAGAAAAGAAACCTTCCACTTAGCTCGACTCACAACAATAACAGCCTATTGGTCTGTAACAGACTCACACACACATACACACACACCTAATTAAACTAGCCAGCCAGTTGGGCAGCCAGGTTTTACTTGGCCACTGTTCCTGCAGGAACAACTGTCGCCTCCCTACTTGGCCCATATCAGTGGAGCCTTTTGGGTACTATGCAACAAAAAAAATAACACCAGTCCTCCACAGCCTCACGCTCTATTACTCCACATCTCTATTGTGGTCCCCAGGCAGCAAAGCAGAAAGAGGTATATGACAGACAGAAAATGGTGAAGAAACTATGGAAGGACTACGTTCAGAGTGAAGATGGTCAGGATGGGATTGTGTAGGAGAATGAAATTACTCATGAGTGATAGAAGACAAGAAGGTCAGTGAAAAAGACTGACTGATGATAAATGTAATGTGGTCCATCAGCTATTTGTGAGAGGACTCATTAGAGGGGAATACTTGAGCTTGGCCCAGGGACTGGGAAGACTAGTAGAGCATAGAGACAGGACAATGGAAAGAGGAGACAAAGGTGCAAATTAAGTGAGCATGGAGGAAAAGTGTGTTGAGGGGGAGCAGGTGGGTCGAAAAAGATCCACATTTTTTCAGTAACTCTGGACAGCCAGACAGTGGTCAGACACACTAGTACACACACACACACACACACNAAGCAACCTGCATTAATGTCATCACATTTCCATTCCTCTGCAAAACAGCCAAATGTCATTATTTGCTGCCACAGTTCAGATACAGCGTACTGCTCCGTATACAGTAGACGCTGTTTGCAAACACACACTCACACACACACACACACACACACACACACACACACACACACACACACTGTGTCAGTGAGCCAGTCTGTCTGTATTTGTGTCTGCTTATCAGATATCTGCTCTAAATGTCCGACACAAACAGACTTTAAGGTTCTACTCTATGCAACCCATAATCATCCATAGCACTTTAATCCTAACTGTAACCATGAAATAAATCCCCCCCCCCTTGAGGACTGATGACACATACTGTTTTCCAATAATTACACTACACTTGTGTGTATGTCTAGACAAAAAGAAATACAGCTGCAACACCTACAACTTAAGCCTTGTTACTCCTTTAACACACAGTTGCATACCTCTTTGCACTCATCACAGCCAAGTTCCTGCACGTAGGGCTAAATGCTGTGCACAGTCACATACTGTCAATAAAGACGAAAGTCATTATTATTTAACCTCGCACACTTGTCAATACAATAATCCAGTTCCCAGCAACAAAGCTATCTTTTAGCCAAAATGCTACAAAATGTTTGTTTTTAATTTCTCATTAAAATGTTTTATTTGCATAATGTAGAAATATGGAAACTATAACTTGAAAATAGGGCTGAAAAAAATAAATCAACTCTGAAGAACACACATTAAGAGGACCATAACTTATATTCACATGGACATGCATACTTTCTGTTCTCTCTCAGGCCAGCTTCAGAGTACTCAAGTCCATCAGGGCGTCCACTGAGCTGCGTGGTGGACGAAAACACACCAGTGATGACACCCGTCAATGGGGCAGAGGCCAGTGTCCCACCAGGTGAACAGAGGATCCAGGAAAGACGGGTTCGATCACAACGGCATCGTAACTACATGAGTCGGACACACCTGCATACACCGCCTGACCTCCCCGAGGGTTATGGTGAGTGATGTAAACACACAGTCAAAAGCACCCCCTCTACAAACTGATAATCTAATAATAATTTATAATTCAGAGTCAAGGTGAGGCAGTGTCTCATTCACAGTCTCACATCATGATATCCAGTAGTGATCATATGATTAGCTGCTCATCCCCACACAGAACTGGTGTGAAACAAAAGCGTCACTATGAGTATGATCAGATCACAGCAGCTAAACAGAGAGTTGCAGTGTTTTAGGGCATCGTTGAAGCTGAAGGCAAATAGCATTGTACAGTTACCAGAGTTTCTGATGAGGTGAAGTCTCAGGCCAAACCCTAACAGAATGCAAGATAAACAATTCTAAAACATAGTGAGTTGCTCTTATTCTGTCTTGTTTGTAGTCTGCAGGCATTTATACCTGTAACATTTTTCTTCTTTTAATGATGAGAATAAAATATAAAAGCCACATCTTTTCTTGTTCCCTCTCTGTCTGTTTCTTTGTTCTCTTTCCTCAGACTCACTCTCACTTTATCTGTTAATCCTCTTCTCCTCCTCTCTTGCTCGTTCCCACAGCACCACATCATAACAACTGCATTCGACCCTTACTGTGTGTTAATAATCAGCTTCTCCTCTCCTCTCCTCTCCTCTACTCTCTTTTCAAACACTTCCAGCGTTGGAATGTTTTGGTTTTGCAGACTGATATTCCCACAGCGAAGAGAAGCAAGGAAAGCAGGGTATTCATCGCTTGGTGTTTAGTTCAGAAAAGGCCCTTTAAGTCACTGGTTGTTTTTTATTGTACTGTAATTTTTCATCTGACTGTATGACATTCAAATGCATCGGAAAAATAATGCAAAAGCTGAAGAACATTTTTCATAGTCAGCCACAGTGCGTCCCACAATACCCACAGAGTCTGTAAAATAAATTATTATTCTAAGTGTGCGGTTGTGTGCCAGTGATTTAGAATGGCACTGTTGGACCTGTGCCCCCCTTTTGAAATGTCCTGCTGTGTCCACTGAGGCTGGCCGAGGTCGGACAAAATGAGTCACTGATGCCCAACAGCTAGTGAGCTTTCTTCTTCAGCTGAACCCTCTGAACCGGTGCCTGGGTGTGGTGAGAGAGAGCGTGAGAGAGAAGGAGAGGGAGAGAGAGAAAATAGGGGAATGTGTGAGGGGAGAAAAAGACCGGGAGAGGTGGGTAGGAAATGAGTTGTGCCAGTAGGAAGTGGGGGGTAGTGATGGATTAGTGGGTGAATATACATACAAGCCATGCCCATGCAACACACACACACACACACACACACACACACACACACACACACACACACACACACACACACACACACACACACACACACACA